TTCTTCGGCAGATACTCGCATTACCCGAGCATATTCTGCCTCCAGCTTTTGGACCGGCGTCGAACAGCTCGTCTGTGACTGGGTGTCCACTGTTGCTTCAGGGACCTGAGCGTCACTCTCGACATCCGCCATACTCTCTGGGTCCTGAGTCTCAACGTCTGAACTCGAGTCAGGGTGGGTCTGCTCTACTGACTCAGGGCGAGTCTCAGGCTCTTCGGAGTCTCTCATAACCGTGTTCATGACGACCGCGGAATTTCCAATGATCTTGAGCGTCATGTCTAATGGTTTCGGCCTTTCTTGCAACTTTACCATCTTCACTTCAGCGACTTGAGACTGCGGACGCATTAGGAGTTTGGTAGGCCACTGATATCTCTGAGTCTGGGTGCACGGAGGCTCCCTCTCCCTGAGAATCTGCTCCAACCGCTCAGCACGCATCCTTGCTTGGCGGGACACGGTACACTCATGGATCAATTGTTGCCATTCTTCATACCGCGCTTTACCAGGACGAACGAACCCAGGCTGTCCTGGGAACTGTCCATATTCCACAATGCGCGCAACTGGAGTCCTAGTGTCGATCCAAACGTTCTGGTCTGAAACATTAACCACCTTGACAGCAGTCGCCCAGGATCTAGTAGAGTACAAGACCTTGGTTCCCGTTGGGGGTTGGGCTGGCCATACCGAATTCGTACAATAGCGTCCTGACCAGGACGCAAGTGTATACTTTCTTCTGGGCACACAGGGAAATCCATACCACGGGACTTGGGCTCATTATCATACATCACCACAGTCTCTTCGTCTGGCAGCTTAACTAAGCCCTCTCGTATGCAGAGTCGGACGCCTGTCGAATGCATAAAACTCATGCCTAGCAGAACATCAACACCTTCTCCAATATTTCCAACCCAGATGTTCAGGACGTACATCACACTCCATCCGAGGGTTATCTTCACTCGGGCATGAGTAGTAATGTCAGTGGTCACTCCTCCCAAACCAGAGACTTTGATTTGACGGTGTGTCCGGGGCTTGAGTTTGAGTCTACGCGCTAGGTCAAGACTCATAATGCTCACGGACGCACCAGTGTCCAATAAGATTCTGGTTCTGGAGTCGTTCACAGCTCCATGTATCGTCGCCAATCCATGCATGTCTCCATGTTCGTGATTTTCCCACCATCCGTACCTCTGACCCGGTTTCAATGGTACTTCCAAGGGATCCTGAGATTCAGGCTCAGAGATCTCTGGAATCGGGTCATCTGAACGCTGGTACTCTGAGTACAGTTGTTCAGGGTAGATGACTTCATCTTGAACTAAATTCATGCATTGTTGGTTATCTTGTAGCTGCGTCCTTCGTTCTGGTCCTATACAGACTAACACACACATTTCAGGGGGGGCTCTTAGGCCCGTCGCGTACCGGATCCCCATCCGGCAGGCTTATTGGTTTAACTGCTGCGCCCCTGAAGCGTGATCCTTGGTCTGAAGGAGACTTCGAAATTGAGTTGGTAATTCACTTGCATTTCCTTGCTTCGCCAATGTCATCACTGACTGAAAAGCTTTCCACTGTTCGCACGATATTCCACCGTGAAAACCTCCACATTCGGCACAAGGGGTTCTGGTACAAACTCTGGTCGGGTGTCCCTTGGCTTGGCATCGATCACATATCATTCCGGTCCAGCAGTTGACTTCGGGATGTCCCCACTTTCTACACTTCTCACAGAATGCGTCCCAATTCTCTGGTCGTGCTGCACCTTGACATGGATGCGGGTTGGGTGACTTCCAATGTTGGTTCTCTGCGACTCGAAACACTTCTCCATCAATTCCACCATTGGAAAACTCTGAGACCGGCTTTGCGTGCGCCTCTGCTTGATCTGCAAACACCACAGGATTCTGAGACTCGTGTTGGAACTCTGAGTCCTGTGTTGGTTTACCATCGCCTTGAGTCGTAAAAGCGCATCCCGGACGTCTAGTCGGTCCACCATTCTGAGACCGGCCTTGATGAACGTTATCGGCACGGAAGTCTCTGCGCTTCTTGGGAGCTGGAGAGTCATAGCCTTCTTCACGCCACACATCTTCGTGGCGACGTAATGCTCGTTCCAAGTCCGTGATGCTCTGAAACCTGTGGCCCTCAAGGGCTGTGTTCACCTGATCACTTCGAAGTTTCTTGATGAATCTTTGAATATGAGACTCACGTAGCTTAGAGCTCAACTTGAACTTGACCTCAGCATTAACCGCCGCCGCATTCAGACGATAGAAGAACTGCAATGGGGTCTCATGGTCGGTCATCTTCATCGTGAAGTACCTTTCCGAGTACGAGCCCGTCGTACTGATATACAGCTTCCTGAATCTGCGCGACATTTGTTTCCAATCGTGACGTGTAGATTTAGGTAGCTGCGTGAACCAGTCCCTGATTGCTGTGGGCATCCGGCTCCTGAACTGACGAATCTTCATTGTGTCTGACCAGGATCCCTGCGATGCCATATCCGAGAATTGCTCCCACCAGTTGACCCGATTATCCCTGGATGCCTTCTCATCGAACTTCTCCAGGTTGGTGTAGCCAATGTAAGGTCTACAATTCCAAATTGTTGTTCCATCAGCTGTGGTTGTCGTCGTAGTCATTCCGATGTCCTCATCCTTACTTGAACAGCCTTCAGCATCACTAGGGTCGGAGATTCCTCCTCGACTTGCATGATTGTCACTGTCGCTGGGATCCGTGTCATCTGGGTCGTCAGGAGGAGGGTCAGACTGCTCTTTCGCCTTCTTCGGCTGTGACCTCTTCGACGACGATGATGCAGAATCTTCCTTTCGCGCGGCAGTCTTCCTCGTACTTGCAACTCTGTTCACTTCACAGCTGACGAAGTCTACGACGCATTCGACGACTCTCGGCGAGTGGGG